TTTTAAGAACAATTTAAAACAGGTTTTCTAAAACATAAATGCCATTAATCTTCACCCATATTTTTAACATACAGACTTTTGTAACTAACAAAAATAAAAGGAAAGATTGTGTAGGAATTTACCTTTCAATAGAAGTGATTAACTTGTTTTGTGAAAATATGAATTGATGGCTTTGATGATCCTTGTGTAAGTTTTATTCAGGTATAATTATGAATGTCACTTTTCTGTTCTAATTTCCTCTATGGGACATCACAAGTTCAAGTCAAAAGGTGCACCATTTCCAAATGTTATTTGGTACAGCATTAACTTTATTATTATTATTGTTATTTGTATTTAGTGCAGGGTCTACAGGTTCTACAGGGTATCACTACAAAGATCGGACTGGTAGTATCTTTCCTGTTTCCAGCTTCCCAAGCACTGGGATTACAGGTGTGCACCACACACCCAGTCTACATAGCTATCACCCAGGGTGGGGCTAGCATGACATACCAGGGATAGAACCCATCTCTGTGTCTGCCTAAGCAGGCTCTTTAATCCGCCAAGCCATCTGACTGGCCCAGCATTAACTTTTGTTTATAATATTTAACACAAATTTATTTGTCCAGTAGAATCTCTATTGCCTTTGAAATGTGGATTTTATGAACTTTTCTATGATAAATGTACTGGGATTATTATTGGAAATACGTGTCACACACAGAGTGACACATTTTTTTATTCTTCTCATCTTCCTCTCTCACTATTTCCTGGTAAGTTTTCTGAACAAATTTAACTTTTAAACAGACATTAAAAATCAAGAGGATTTTTAGGTAATGAAGAACAATGGACATAGTTGTGGACAGTAAGCTCAATACAATTACATTCACCTTGTAATAATAAGGCTGCAATACAATAAAAAATCCCATATAACCCAAAAATTTGACATAGAAGATATGAAGGTTGGGCTGTGGAGATAGCTCTGTGGTATAGGCACTTGCTTGGGAAAGCATAGGGACCAGGGATCGATCCCCAGGACCACATGCCCTGCTGGCCAAACCCCTAGGGTGGGCTGAGCCAGCCACTAAGACTAGATGTAGTGGCGCCTACTTGTAATCCCAGCACTGGGGAAGCTGCAGCAGGAGGTTCACTACAAGTCTGAGCTGCATAGAGAGACCCTGTAGTAAATGCATAAAGAATTAAACAAAAAGAAAAGATATTAAGGTTGACATAGAGTTTTGATCCAGTTAAAATCTGTACACCTCATATATGACAATACTATCATGTCTTTTCTTATTAGATAAGACAGGAAACTTGTAGGGCTTAAAGTCTAAACAATAAGCTCTGTGTACTAAGTGCAGTAGTTACAGTTTTACTGCTGGAACAAAATACCTGAAGCCCAAAGTAAAAGGAGAAAAAGTTTGTTCTATCTCAAAGTTTTTAGAAGGTTCAAGCTATAGTCATGTGACTCCAAGGTCGGGCAGCATGGTAGAGGAGAAACACGCCCTAGTACAGTAGACAGGCAGCAGTAAGGTGAAACTGCAAGCCTTGTGTCTTTCTTCCCCTTTATGCCCCACCTAGGCTATAACCACATTCCTTGGTGCCACTAAAACCAAGGGTGGGAGTTCCATTATACACATCCACACCCATAATATGATAAAGCAGTTTAGTTA